CATTTTGCACCAATCTTGTCATTGTTGATTTGGTTCTAGTTTGCTTCAAAGCTCAATTCAGAGTACTGCTTATAATTATCAAACACTGGAAGAGCTTGATGATATGTCTCAAGAATTGTTTCTTCCCTTGTGAGAATGTCCAAATTTTGCATTCCTTGGCAAATTCTATGTCTAGTAGTCCATCAATGGGCCAACTTGCAGCTCCATTGGCAGTGGAGCCTGATTATATAATTTTTTCACTTGTTTTTTTAACACTTGTTAAGGCAATCTTATTTCCTGGAGATTCTGGTACTTAATGCTGTGCCCAGTTTGATTGTAGCAAGATCCAATCTGGGTTGATCCCAGGGACCAGAGGTTTAGTCTTCCGAGCTTTCGGATTCATGCTGAAGCCCATCCTCAGGGATCTTTTCTCTAGCAGAGTCCTAGAAGATGGGCTCCAGCATTAGTCCAAAAGCTCAGAAGAACCAAACCTCTGGTGCCAGTGACCGACCCAGATTGGATCCTGCAAACATTATCCTGATACATGTATATTGCCTTCATTTGCGAGTTTCATTGTAACTGAAGCTTTAATCTCTGCCTTGTGTTACATTTCCTTTTACTTTTGTTGTATATCCCTGCAAGCATAGAGTGGAATGGCCATTTATAAAATGTCAAATAAACAAATAAAGTACCTTAAATAACAAATGAAAATAAATATGTGATGTGACATAAAACTTTTACTGGAAAACTATCCAGATTTTACTCAGTCTTCCATTATCAACTTGATTAGAAACCTTTATGTTATTAAGGAGTTAAGGACTGGGGAAACATTAATTTGAGGAGGAAATATTCCTGTACACTGCTAGTGTCATTATTAAATTATTATATCCATACATTTACATCTCATATTGTTACTTGTGTTTATTTTAACAAGTAAATGCCTCATTATATGAAAGCCATCTTTTTTCTATGGGAAGCCCTTTCTCACATGTCTCAGTGAATTCAACTGCATTTTTTCTGGAAGGCAAGGCAAGAAGCACTTTACTAATTAGCATACTTAATTTCCACACATAGTTAATAGTTTTCTGCCATGTCTAATCAGAACAGAAAGTGGGTTTTATGATTACAAAGGAGTAAATATCATTCTGTGTGTTTTCAAACACTAAACAAAAACAAACTGTAACTATCCAAGCATTATCTAAATGGTCTCATTTCGATTCTTGGCAATAATAATCCATGCTATTTCAAAAAATTTGCTGTTTCAGGTAAATTTCAAAATGCCGTAAATCCTCTCATCTCCTAACTTCAGGAGAGGAAAAGATGGTCAATGATTAACAAGAAAACCTATAATATATGCAACCACTTCATTCATTATTATTTCACATTAATATAGCATAGCAAAGAAAACTAAACTGGTATTGGGGGAGGGGAAAAACAGGCATTACTAATGCAATGTTTTTCAATCTTGGCACCTTTAAGGTTTTTGGACTTTAATCCCCAGAATTCCTCTGCCAACATGCTGGCTGGGGAATTCTGGGAGTTGAAGTCTACACACTTTAAAGTTGTCAAGGTTGAAAAATACTATGCTAATGCCATCTTCAAAGATGTTTGTTCAAATTCCCAGTTTACGGCTTTTGAGCTACCCATTGTTTTTCTACTCGAGTACTCATTAGATCCAGTCAAGTACTCACTTTTTCAATAATAGCCAAAGTCAACTTGAGGAATAGGATGCCCAATTCAAGTCTCCTATCACATGCAGTCACCAAGTAGGCTTAAGGGTATCCCTAGAGAGATTCCTCCTGCATTATTGTTTTTTTCTTAAATGATTGAACATGTAAGCGTTAACACATCTATGGCTGCTACCCTATGCCAGAATTATTATTAAACTCAGTTTCTTATCTATGAGCTGAGACTCATACAATTGCTACCCTAGTTAATTTTGTTTTATAGCAAAATCCTTTAAATTAGATGGCCCATGGTGGTTCAATGGTTAGAATACAGTTAGAACAATTAACCAGTGGAACAATCTGCCTCCAGAAGCGGTGAATGCTCCAACACTGGAAGTTTTTAAGAAGAGACTGGACAGCCATTTTTCTGAAATGGTGTAGGGTTCCTGCCTGAGCAGGGGGTTGGACTCGATGACCTCCAAGGTCCCTTCCAACTTTATTATTAATTATTATTATTATTATTATTATTATTATTATTATTATCATTATCATCATCATCATCATCATCATCATCATCATCATCATCATCATCATTATTATTATTATTATTATTATTATTATTATTATTATTATTATTATTATTATTATTATTATTATTATTATTATTACTTCCAGGAGTTCAATCCTGACAAGCTGAAGATTGAATCAGCCTTCTTTTCTTTCAAGGTCAGTAAAATGAGACAGACTGTTGGAGGCAATATGCTGACTCTGTAAACTGCTTAGAGAGGGCTGTAAAATGCTATGAAGTGGTATATAGGTCTATTGCTATTAAGGTTGCTGCTTTCATTGCGCTCTTTGAATGCAGTATTGAAATCAAGGAAACATTTGGAATTAGGTATATTCCAGATATGTTGGACTATAACTTCAAGAATTCCAGAACTACAAATTCAATATAAAGGGAGGGCTTGGAGAAAGATATTCTAAACATACAATTTTCACCTTCACACCTTGTGTGATATTATAGTTTTCATCAGGATCTAATAATCTATTAATCCCTGACATAAATATTGTTCAAATGCTAATACTGCGCTATAATTGTGTGTAGAAGCTAACAATGTATGCCTGTTTATATAACAGATGATCAGTGCTAAGCAAGAGTAGGAAATATGGTATAAAATAAGGCTGAAGTAACTGGAGCAATACTAGGTAACCTTTCAAAGCAAACAATTTAGTAGGAACAGAGGAACTGATTGCGACAAGCATTAAGACCAACAATAAAAAGTATATCTTAAATATATTGAATCTGAAGCCAAACAAGGAAGTTAAGAGACATGCTGGGTATCTCAATAAAAATAACAACCCAGTGTGTTACAGCTGTAAAAAAAGAGTGGATTTCATGCAAGAAGGAATAAAAACAAACTGCCAATATATTAATGCAGTTATATAAATATCTAGTTTAAAATCAGATGGGGAATTATTTCACAAAGGCTACTGTAAAGCTGAAAAACATGCTGCAAAAGGACTAAACATAATTAGAGGGCTGTAATAATTATCTAAAGAGGATAGTTATTTAGAAAGTTTGGAAGGTTTAATATTTGAAACTTTTTGACTCGGAACAAAACAAAAGGAAGAAAAAACTCTTTATTGTTGTAAAAAAGTGTTATCCTCCTTTCTTATTTTATTTATTATTTTTATTTTATTATTAAATTTATATCCCGCCCTTCTCCTTGCGGACTCAGGGCATTATATTAGAATGTGAAGTTATTGAAGTAAAATGTCACATTATATTAGAATGTGAAGTTATTGAAGTAAAATATGAAAAAATATGAGACCAATATTTTTTTCTCAGTATAATACATAGGTACTTTATTAAATTCGCTGCCATCCTGTATGATGATGACCATGAATTTAAATAGCCATCAAGGGGAGTTATTTATGGAATTAGACAAATTTAAGGAAAACTTGATTATTAGTGTTTACTAAGTGGATATTTTGATGGCTGCATATAATAACTAGAATCAATGGCAGTATGGCCTAATTGAATTACCTAATTCTTACAGTGTACATAGCTGAAAAGGATTATCTCCCTTACATCCCACTTAAAGCTTCTAGTTTGCATCTGGCTGACTCTATAATACTAAGTACTGCACTACACAGGTCTTTGGCCTGATCCACAAGGAAATTTCTTCTGATGCTTAAATTTCATTCTCAAAGTGTGCATAGGTCTGAGGGATGTTTGTATAAGGAGCAATAATGAATTTCCAATGAAAGTGGACAAATACAGTAAAGCCAAGGAAACTAATCTGAGAAAGGTTAATACTATAAAAAAGGAGAAAAGCTATTTCCTGCAACCATTTCACAAAGTACTTGAGAGGGTTATTTGTTTTCATTTAAGTTCTGTAAACATTCTAATTGTATAATAAAAGTTGCTTTTTTATTGCAAGAGATAAACATTTGTCAATAGAAACTACATGTCAGACTGTGTGTGACACCAATGATTAATTTGTTTAATGATCCATCTAAATGAAGTCAGGCTCTAATGATAGGAATATAAGAAACCTGACAACAATAAGAGAGTTGAAGTTAGTAGTGATCTAAACAGTACAGCAAACCGCAAAAAGAATTATGTTAGTTTAAAAAAAGCACTTCCTAATTCTGTAGTAGGTATATAAAACCAGATCAGCAATTAATTTTTTACTTTTCATCCTAATGGCATTGTCAACAAAAACCTGCTTAAACAAAAAAAAGTGCAATTTAAGACACAATGGAGGTCTTATTTAACTTATTGAGTGAGGGTCTTGAGATAACATACATTACAAATCAGAGATGAGACAAAGAGCAATACACTTTAAAAAAGATTTGGAAGTTAAAATATGAGGGAGACTCTTAAGAGTGGATGAAGAAGGCTTCTTGATAGGCCACATTTTTGTAGGGATTTTAATCCATGAATTAGCCATTGTTCCATTAAAAAATTGAAAAATACATATGTATACATAGAACTGTGGAGGTTTGTTATTGTCTCATTTCATTAGTGGCAATGCTCAGCAAATTCTAGTTTCAGTAACTATAAAAATGCAGCAACTGAAACCACACAATGGTTGACCAATTAGCTGCTTGAATACCAGTAGCCTACACGTAGTGTGTAAAGACTAAACCCATCTGAAAATAAGAATCCACTTGTGTGCAGACTACTATTTCTTTGTAGTTTATGACTTTAAAAACCTATTGTATTACTTCCCATATAGTAAAGTGTAGTTGTCACAAATAAATGCTTAATCAGCAATAATAAAAAAGTCAGGTTATGTGAGAAGACATATAGATATCTTAGATATATAGTTATTATGGGTAGTCCTCGGCTTACAACCACAAAAAAGTTCATTTCTTATGTAATTTTTGAAAGCTCCAGAGACCATGAGAGCATGCCCCATTTTTGCATGGCCTTTACATTCTTCAAAAATCATGCGAGAACGGGCTGTGATTTCAAGAATAGCTGTTGAGTGTCGGTGGACACTGGCATGTCACCCAAAATGTCATGATATGACACCTTTGACACATGTGTCATAGGTTCTGCCAGTGTCTTCAAAATAAGCAGAACTATGGCAAATCCTGAACTTCCCTAAGAGAAGTACTCATAATGTCCTTTCCTTTGTGGATATTCAGGCAAGCTACAATCATTAGTCAAGAGGTTACCAGTTCTGTTTGGAGCACTTGGTCACTCATCCTTACACTGAGTTTTGAGGAACTAGAAAGTTATATAAACAACTTTTCTGGATGAACCTGACTCCTTGCTTCATTGGTACACATACGACAAATATGAATTAAATTCTCTTACAGAAAAAGACAGGAGTTTTGATGTAAGAAAAGCCCAGATATATTTTTCTTCATTTATCTTTTAGTATCAATGTGTATTTAATTTATTTATTTACTTCCTCATGAGTTTAGTTGATCCACCATACATGGGGCAAGCATTTTGGATTGGTTAGAAAGCTGAAATAGATGGTCATCTGAGGTTGGATTCTTTTTTCATTGCAATTCTATCACCTGTTGTCTGTCCATCTGGTCCTCTTCATCATCTGTATAATGTTCGTCACAGAGACTAAAAAATAAAAAAGAAATTATAAATTTCATTTTTCTAAATAGGTGAATATCTTCTGTTGGGCAGTTATGTAGGAACACTTGGATCTTATCAAGAGAACTTGAAATATTTCATCTTGCCACTGGAAAAACATGTGGTCTACACTATGTATAAAGATCAGTAGACAACAGTTCTAGCAAATGATCTTTGTTTGCTCCCTCTTTTGAATGGTAGTTCAGAACATTAATTACAATTCCATGAATTTGGATTTTAAAAAGAGCAACCAGAAATCATTGCAAATAACCAGCTGAAAGGTTCCACTGATATCACAGTAGTTGCAGCAGCTGGTGGAAGAGGCTAAACTGGATAACATAGATAGGGAGTAGGAGAAAAATGAAAAAATATCATTGCAGACTTCTTACTTGAGGGAAGATCTCATTATTATTAGAAACAGAGAAAGTCTAATGCTTTCAAGCCATGTATAATTGAACATTTTTCAAATGAGCTAATAACTGGGAAGCAAATTATATTAGCAAATAATTAGGAAAAATACAGTAACCTACATGAGGGCAGCATGCTTCTAACAATCAGAAAGAACTGCACTGTTTACAGAAAATTATTCAAAGAAATGTAAGGAATATTTTATATGAGAAAATTGCCTTTATTCACAAAGGTTTATTGAGATATCCAGAGAGGTGTTCTCAAAGCTTAATAAAAGTCAAGATTAACTAACCTTACAGCATCACCTTGACTATAGTCTTTTGTTTCATGGTTGTTATGCAAATCCCGATATGTGATTTTTGAATGTCTGCTGAAGTCTCCACAGTTTAAACCATTGAGATTTTCCCACGAATCTGAAATGTTCAATGTATTTTTTTAAATTACAGGCAACAGAAATTCTTAGATGTCTGAAGTACAAAGCATAAGGAAGTACAACTAGCCCTGACAATGTGTATCTTACATACAAAGTATCTTACATACTTTTGAAAAAGAAGAAAATACTCTTGTCCAAAATATTGCTGAAAACTCTTCAGTGTAATATAGAGCTCTACTTATTTAATTGACTCTGCTATAAACTTGTGGAACTATCACACAATGCCAGGTCAGACTTACAATGCTCTACTGGAAGCAACAGCATTAATTAATGAAAAGGAAACATACCATATCACACATGATTTCTACCAAAGCATTCAACACTTCTTACATTCTCTCAATCTGCCATATTAATTAACAGGGAAGCTAATTAAATAGGAAATGTTGCTGGGCTATTGGTAAGGATTTCATATTCTGAAGGCTATTGGAGATACACCCAACTTGATGCAAAGTAGTCTATATTTCTTTTTGATTTAGACATTGACAATGTTGTGAATAAATGAATTGCTCAAAACATCATGTCTTAGGGTTTTCAATTCTACTGAAAATTTAAAATCTAAATTATGTGCTTGTAACATTTACTGTTACAGGGCTGAGTGGTTATAGCAGTTAAGATGCTGGGCTTGTTGACCGGAAGGTTGTCAGTTCAAGACCCAAGTACCATATGATGGGGTGAGCTTACATTCTTGCCCTAGCTCCTGCCAACCTAGCAGTTCAAAAGCATGCCAATGTAAGTACATAAAAGGTACCAATTTGGTGGGAAAGTAACAGCGTTCCATGAGCCTCAATTTATAGTCATGCCAGCAACATGACCACAGAAGTCTCTTTAGACAACGCTGGCTTCCTCAGCTAGTAAACAGAGATGAGCACCACCCTCTAGAGTCAGATGGGAGAAGCATTTCCCTTTTACTTTTTTAACATCTACTGCAGTTTGACTTCCTAATAAATAAATACAATTTCTGTTTGTTGAAAGTAATTCATACAGGAGACAGGAACTGAAAGCTAGGATTCCGAACAATGAATACATATTATATAAATTTATTTCTTTGCTTGCTAATCCATGCTTCCTCACTTCTTTCCACTCCAACCCATTTCATTAATCACAAACTTTTCTTTCTGCTCCATGCTCCTCTAAACCTTTGACAAGTAGCCTTCCCATAGATGATTTCCTCTGCTCTTCAATATCCTTATATGAGTTAGGTGACTTTGGTTCTCTATTCCCAGTCCTCCTGTGTCAGGGAAAGAAAATGGGGCTCGCCATATGACCTAACCCATTAAAAAAAATCTACTATAATAGCCAATCTTTTTATACCCAAATATCCATCAATAGCTTTCCAATCCAACCTTTTTCCTTCAAAATCACTGTTCTTTTTTTTAAAACAATAAAAAAGGGAACATGATCCCTAGGACAAATTCATTCGAACTGAACTATAATTTGATCAATAAGGCTTTGTGTTTATATCCAAAGGAATATTAGAAATAGACAGTGCAGAGGGATGCTACACGTTGACTACCTATTTATGTCTTCCATTCTTTATCTAAGGGCAGAATAAATAAAATTGTCTACATTTCAGTTTATGAATGTAATTACGAAAATGTACACACACACAAATGTGCAAAAAACACACACCCTATAAGGTTACTGTCAAAATTACATTGTTTTACTAAGAAAGTTTAATGAATGGGCATAATTACCTGAAATACTCTTTAATTCATGGTCTAAATCTGTTAGGGTTTGTTGACTAGTGTAATACTCTAAAAAAGGATCATCGTTCTCAGTGACATCTATGCCTGAAATTTCTGAAATTTCAAAAGCAGCTTTTGATAAAAATTGTGTATTCAAATATTTGGATGCTGTTTCAATGACTGAAGATGGGCGAGGATGGTGTTTAGCAGTTCTGCAAAGGGGAATATTTGCAGAGAAAGGTCTTGAGGAAGCATTATCTGAAATAAAAGAAGAGAAATATATCTGTTTTGAGCATTGCATTGGGAGAACTAGTATGTTTGGGAATAAAGCATCATATTCTGGATCATGATTGTCTAAGGCAGTGTTTCTCAATCTTGGCAGCTTGAAGATATATAGAAGGTGGAGTCCACACATCTTCAAGGAGACAAGGCTGAGAAATATTGGTTTAAAGTAACAATAAACACAGTGAAAAATTACGATTTCTTATTATATATTTTTCCTTCCATGATAAACAGTTATAACATTTCAACTATAACTGATATTAGAAAATGTACATGGGACATGATTGTTGTAATGTGGATTGTATGCTTTTTTCCAGGGTACAGAGTTTCATTCCTTTTTTAATTTTCCAGTCTCTCCTCCACAGTAATTAATCTGAATTCTGTAGTTATTAACCTACTATTTAGTTATACAGTACTTCTGCAAACCTTTATGAGACTGCTAGTACTATTCCTCTTTTTTCTGAATAAGACATTCTGTCTGCATGAAGATCAAAACCTTGAGGATGGGTTTGCTATTAGTATACTCTATTTTATCATTTCATAAGTCCTGAATAACAAAGAAGGAAAAATATTGCTGCTTCTTTCCTGATTCACGAATGAGCTACTTGATTATATAGTAAGCCAGACAAATAAAACATTTATTAAACCCTAGCTCTACACATGCTATTTCAAGCAGAAGGCCAGAAAGGGGAATGAGTTTGCAGAAATGCAATTATGGAGATTACTATTTCAGGATTTTTTTAAAAAGACAATGCAGCAGCAGTTCTATTACCACCAAAATAGTTTTTTGGGAAATACGTGCATCATATGTCAGTACATAAAAAATCTCAACTGCTGGATTTAATTCTTCACACTACATCTAACATCAGTCAATAAGTAAAATAATGTTCAATGAATTGAAATATTGAAATACTGATTTTCATTTGCTGGCTATAGTGTTGGGAAGGAGTTATGCGGGGAGGTAAATTACTGCTGTCAGTACCCAATTAGTTTTGGAAAGCACTCACCTATGGATAAGTTTGATTGAGAAAGTTGAGTACGTGGATTTTGCTTTCCCAGCCTACTTAATGGTCTACCAAGCTCACTGTTCATTATTTCTTGTACTACAGATTCATCAGCACATTCTCCCAGACTCAAGTGCCTTGTCCACTGTTCAGGTCCTGAAGATGAAAATATAGATCCAATTAAGACAATCAGACGTTTTATATTAAGCATTTTTATACTGGTCAACATTTATCCTTTCTCAAAACTTGAACAATATACTGATAGAATTCTGTCTCTCTTTCTTCATCTTGAATTTTCAATAGCAACCTGACCCGTAGAAATTAAGCAGGTGAAGATTTTTCAGTTGCTTACTTCCTACCCAACTGCTGTTAAAAGCATGCAAGCAGTAAATCTGTAGTCTATACTGTGAGAAAACAAAGATGGGAAACGTATGTACCAAACAACTGAAAAAAAAATTGGTTAGAAGACCAAGCTTGCATTAATTAAATCATTCATCTAGATATTCAAGTTGATTAATTGGTAGCAGCCAGTTTAAATTGGCAAGGGCAAATTTTAATAAAACAAACTATTAAAGGCAATGTCTTGATACAGCATCATTTTCTTTCTGTAATAAACACTGAAAAAAGGAAAAGTGAAAAGCGTCATAGGCTTATCAAATTAAACACAGACTTACATCCATCATTTTGTCTAAAAAACCATAATGAGCTGTTGCTAATATGGAGATCTAATTAAAAATAATCAATGTATAGATACATTACATAGTAAAAATAGGCAGATCAAATAAAAGTTCTCATCAACTCATAGACACAAAATAAAGTGAATGCAAATATTTAATTACTTTCTATTTAGCACAATTAGTAAGAGAAAAATCCAATCAGACTTATTCTGAATTCAAACCCATGATTTGAATTTCTCTCTGCCTATTTGTTTTATTTTTTTCTGGCCATTGAACAATTCATTCTGAAGTTAGGTAGCTTTCTAGAACAATAGGGCATTAGTACATGGAACTACAACAAGCAGCAAGGATTGACAGAGTTAACAAAAAGCCTTTATGGTTAGCAATTCATATGCTATGCTATGCTACGTTAGTTCTGTACCTCTCCCTGAATGAAACTAAAGTGTAAGTAATAGTGTCCACATAGGACTCTATTTACTTTGGCCTGAAGTGGGGAACTATCTATTAGGGCAATAAGTAACATAGATAGATAAGCCTTCCATATGAAAGGGAAACATAGTTTCTGTTCAGACTTTCACACGTGCCATTAAAATGTCCATTGTACACCCAATGGCAATCATGTTCAGTTCTTCCAATTGTTAATAATTCTAATTGCCATTGCAACCAGGAGACTGTCTTCTCTTTGGTAACCATTTTTCAGAGACCTCTAAGATTACAAAATTCTTATAGATAGCTATAGATATTAGAAAATACCTGGACCCTCCATCGTGCTATTAAATGTTAACTGCTAATTCCTTTATGATTTTCTTGTTTTTTTAAAAAATATATTTTTACAGTTATTTTATTGTATGCTTGTCTTTTATTGTGTTTCACCTTGAGTTGAAAAGGAATTTCAGTGAAAGCTCTTGAGACTTGAGCTGACACTGTCTTGCTGTCATACTGTGTCACCAACTGGAACCTTTGAAAGACCTTTAATTCATAGCCTTTCCTCTGGACAGATTTGGTGGAAAGTAAACTTGACCCCAGCTGCAACCTCAAGATGATAAACATTCCAAGGTTAAAACCCCAACGATCTCAGAAAATGAACTCAAAACGTTTACTTTACCAGCCGACAAAAGTAAAATGGAAAAGTGTTTTAAGACAATATGTAGCTTTTTTCATTAATGACTAGGTTGTTTATTAAGCAATTGAGTTATCTCTACATGATTAATTAATGATTACCCAAAGAGCTCTCTTGATAAAGAGGCAATCGTTCCATCAACCATCACTTGAATAAAAAAAAAATCAAATGGTTACATAATTATATTTCCCACTAATAAGTGTAATGTGATATTGCTTAGAAGTTACATATGGCATAAGAGAATGCCAGCTTTTTAAAATGGTGCAATATTTTTGTGTGTCTTTTAGGTATAACATTTGTACAAATTGAAGCCAAAATTGCTTGTGCATAATGCTACGGTTCTGATGAGCACACAGACAAAAATGTTTAATTTAAAAATGGAAGTGAAACCATCATTGCCTGAAGATGTTCTGAATAAGCAGAAAAGAAATGTTCTTATGGATGACTACCTGGAAATGAAATGATATTCTTTGGAGACTCTCGGGCCTTGCATGGTGAAGGGATGGATTCCATCTTAAGTTGTCGACAATTTGTACCCATTGTAAAAAATTCCTCAAGTCCTTGATATGGGTTACAAACAGGTTTCTCTCTTAGGGCTACCCGTGACAACTAGAAAGACCAAAAAAAAAAAAAAGACTAGAAAAACAACACTAAGTGCTGTTTTAAATTTTTCCACATGAACTCATGCACTGAACAATCCATTTAAAGCATCTAAAATCCAGAGTAACTTGATGTAAGCAGAATAGTTAGGGCTATCATCATTTACTGTCTCTCCTTAAGGCTCCAAGTAAGCAATGAAATTATAGCTTGGGTTTTGCTGATGGTATTGAGTCTTTTTTTGGGGGGGAGGAGGGATTTCCCAAAAGTACCAGGACGATCTGCTGACCACCTTGCCCAACAGAGAAAATAGAATATTAGGAAACCAATGTTAAGTATAATGCATTCAGTAGGAATATAGTAGTGATACTGCTGCCCTGTCTTGCCTACTCAGAATTAGGTTTCTTACATTTGGTGGAATTTGTTCCTAGATTGCCAAATATTAATCAAATATTTTTGCAGTCAATTCTTGTTTTACTAAACTTTCATTAAGCTCCATCTCTACATAAACCAGTAATCATGCAGGCATGATTATATTTAAATATAAATAACTATATTTATAGTATTTATTTAATACTATGACCTGAATTAAAATTCTGAAGTTGTTCCACATGTATTATTTTGGGCTTCTTCACACAGCATAGGAAATGTAAGCGGATTTGCATATACTGAAATATGCTCGGTTCCACAGAAATAAAATGATGTATAAAATAAAATACAAATTTTAAAGGCATACAGAAATGGGATGTCATAGCTATAGTACAGCTAAAAAACCAAAATAAATGTAGATGCTGCTGTCCAACAAACCAAATGGTCTCATTTGTCAGTGCAAATGCTGGAAGCAAATTTTACACACATGCACAGGATCAGTGGCCACTTGTACCAATATGATTTCTTTTTTAAAAATTTTACATTTAAAGGAGGAACATTAAGTAAGTGCTTAAGGCTGGTGTTATATTAGATATCTGAAACAGCCAAGCAATACAAATCTTCTTTGAGGCTATTATAAAATAATTAAAGGATACAGCATAAGAAAATCAAGTTTGTAATATTAAAAACAGCCCAGTGAAATCTAATATTTTCTCACATTACAGAGAGTTTCAAATGGGAATCATTAATGCATAAATATATTTAAATGAATGTAACTAACTATTTAGGGTCAAGAATCACTGAACTATTGTCTAAGACCATGTCCTCCTCAGTCCACTCCTGTCATTTAAGCTTCCACTGAAATATTATTAAAGAAAAAAAAGCAGAAATTGCTATAGAAAAGTGGTTGCCCAATGAAGGAAGGTAGTGTGGGAAGCAGAGATCAAAAGACAAGAAAAAAAAATAAAGCAAGACAGTGAACTAAATAAACTGTATATAAGAGACAATATGTATATGTCACATACTTGATAAAGGGTTGTGTGACTAACGTGTGAGAAAAAATAACAGTGTGTGATGGGATGTTTTTTTTACTCTCTAAATAAAGTGAAGGTATAATGAAATGAACGTATGGTAAGTTTTTTAGAAGTGAAAAAAAAAGGTCAGAAAAGTCCCTTAAAGGTCAGATATCCCTTAAGACAGACATCTAAAATGTGTCTATGGGAGTGTGTAGTGATGCCTCTGGATTGGCCTGTATGACCTTAAGGAGGATTTTTTACAAGAAGAACACAATTGTCAACCCAGTAAAGATTCACACATCTGCGTCAGTTGCATCTTAATGTTCAAAGAATCATCCTAGGCACGGCTATGTACTTGCTGAATAAATCACTGAGAGAAAACCATCTGCAGGAACACCAAAGATCTTTTCAACGTGTCATTGTGCAAACAAGTGGGACACAGGAGGAAATATATCAGTCTCCCTTTCTCCCCATCACCAACCAAATAATAATGTGGATTTTTTTCTTCTCAGAATAATTTAAAAAGAGGAAATTGGAAGCATGAATGCCAGCTCCATTCCCATTCCTGACTGCTGAGGATTTCCTATTGTAAAATCTTCACAGAAACTCCCTGGAATTTGGTTTCTATGCATGCCAGGTAAACAGATTTATTTATTTATTTATTATAAACTCTTTTGAGACCTCTCAGAATGTCAGTGTGTGATTAGAAACTATTTCCCATGAAAGAAGTTAAAGCAAGGGGATAAAGGGCAGGAAATGATATCCATAATCATGAAGATAGGGTCAACATATATCCTAGTAGCTTTGCTTCCCCTTGTATATAAGCTCTCTTCCGAAATTCGGGATTATATTTTGTTCTCTGTATCCTCTCCTTCCTCCCTTTGCTTCATAGATCTCATGGATTCAGGAATTCCGCCAACACATAAGGGATTTCAATTTGAATGACAGCCTGAAAGTACACTCTGCCATACAACTAGAAATGATTCTGACTGGCACTCTAAAAAATTAGTCCAATGAATAATGAGAAAAATCCCTCTCAAGCTAAAACAGCAGTAAGTAGTAAGAATATGTACAGTAACAGTACCAAAGAATCTTTTGGAGCAACTGGTGAAGCATCATGCATGCCTTGAGACTCCTTCTTTTCTTTAACTAACTCCATTGCAGAGAAAGATTTGCTGGCAGCCAGTTGAGGACGACTTGGTGTCTGCTCATTTGACATGCAAAAGCTTTTCTTTTTGATTTTACTATTCTTGCCTTTTGTTATTGCTCTTTCAGATAAGGAGTTGGGAGTTATGTCTTCTCTACAGGAACAACTATCAGCCACGTCAGCTCTTTCAAACTGTGGAGATGCTCTTGCTAAATATTTGAGACAAAAAAAAAAGCAGAAAGATCTTGTCAGTTTAAATCGCTGCACGTAGCCTCTCGAATAATTAGCCTTCGAGTTTTATCAGCTCACATGGAACGCCAAGGAGCTTTATTCAGAACTGCTTCCCAGACTGATGTACCAAAATGCAGGCTGAAGCTGCTATATTGCTAGCTTCCTGCTGATATTATTTTAGTATTTATAGTTCAAAAGCTTATTAATTAAGGTTAATCAGGAAAAAAAATCCCTGTACAATTTTCCAAGTTTCATTTATCCCTTGCCACATTTCACCTTGTCCTCTAGCTATTCTGAATACTAAATTATTAAATCCATACAGGTCTCTCGTCTAGCCATGTACCCATTAGAAATAATTTTATATATGATTGGAAATGTAGAAGGCATAAAGAATGGCCTTGAAGGACAGTGGAATGATCTGCTCCAATAGCAACAATCAGACAAGCCCATTGAGTGAGTTCATTCCAACAAACTAATTTGAACAAACATCTCAGGTCCCTCCTGTAGGAGACAGCATGGCAGAACCTGGGGGGTGGGGGTGGGGAGTGAAAAAAGAAATCAGCCTAGAATCCCTACGTAACCACAAGTGAAATAACTCCAATCCTCCTTGTATGCCGTTGATCCTTATTTAACTCCAAACGTGTGCTGACCATTAACTGAGAAGATTCATGTGCATAGGCTGTTTAGCAATAAATCAGCTTAACTGAACCTTCACATGTGGACTGGTCTTTCGCACGATATATCCCTTATTCACACAGACAAAGTGAGGGAGGAAAGAAGCACATACAGATTTGAAAGATTCTGTCACTTCAGCTGTTCTAATGAAGATAGTTTTAGACCTATATGGCATTGGTTTTTTTTTTAGTTTTGTCAACCCTACTGGGCTAAAACAAGAAGTAAAAGATACTTATATTAAAAATGTATCTGCATCCCAGTGGACTAGTGAGTATATTAGCAGTTTTTCTGAAGATATACCCTTGAGAAAAATACAGAAGCTGTTAGCAAGGCTGCCTCTGAAGTTTGTGAACGAGGCTAAAAAAATGTTGACACAAGTCTACTTTCACAGCAGAGGAAAATGTTATAAGCTTACTTTTAGAAGTTTCTTCATGTCTGTTACAAAGAAAAGTTAAGCCCTTTTTTCTGTCGACTACAGAAGAAAGAGGTGACCTTGTAGTCATACTGATGGAGGGTGGCAGAAAAATATCTGGTTCAGTCTTCTGAGTACCACTTGAGATAAAAGGGAAAAAATAGAATTTTAAAAAAAGGAAAAAATAGAATTAAAAATGATCAAACTATCATGTTAGGGCATCATCATACAGATTTCTATGGGTTAAACATACACGCAGGAATACTTTTTTAACAAATGTTGAAACTGCAACCTGTAAATTGCAATTTCTTGATGATTTCATAGTGAAAATTAATTGCTTGCAATTATTTTAATTGGAATATACTTACACCCATACATTTAACATATACATCTTCAGAATGAAAGCCTAGTACATATAAAGATTACCTAGAGCAAGGGTCCCCAACCTTCAGTCTGTGAACTGGCACCAGTCCGGGATCTGCCAGCAACTGGACTGTGGAAACTAGGGAAGCCCCATCTGCGGTGTGCAGGCAGCATGCGAAACCACACCTTCTCCAGTCCATGGAAAAACCTTTCTCCATGAAACCAGTTCCTTGTGCTCAAAAGGTTGGGGGCCACTGACCTAGAGTATTAGCTAGCCCATTTAATTTGTGAAATCTGCAAATCTTGTAGTAGTCTTTCTGACCTTTATTCAACTCATTAATAAAAAAAAAGTATGCTACTGGATCAAAGATCAAAGCCTGTGACACTGCAATATGATTAAAAATATACTTGTTCTCTTTACAACAGCTGTGAATCCATTTAATAAATATGCCATTCATTTCTATTGCCTTCTTAGCAGAATCTTGTCAATACTTTGTCAAATGTGTTCTCAAGTCAAGAGATACTGTCAACGCTGCTAATATTGAATATTCTTGCTTTGACAAAATATGCAGAACTATCTGGTACTTTTAGAGTTAATTCAGATGAGAATGAGAGAGAGAAAAGCCCGCGGAAGAGAACGGAAGTGAATCTTTGCTCTCCAGATTAATTGGAAGATGTGAATCATGACCCCAAAATAGGGGAGGGGAAATGCCTGGAATGTTATGTGCAAAGGAAGGGAAATTCAGATCTTGGAATTCTCCATGCTGTGCTGACACTCCTTTTACACTAATAAAGGCTTTTTAGGTTAAACCATGCCTGAAAGTTCTTTGAAGTGTTTCATTAGTCAGACACATGACAGATACTGTATTCATTGCATTCCTATAATCTATTCAGTTACCTTTTAAAAAAAAAAATGGGCTGTTACTCAGACCACACTTGTTTTTTGACTAACCCGTGTTCTAGTAATCACTGCACTGTTTCCAAGATGCTTACAGACTGATTGCTTTATGAGCTACCCTAGGATCTTCCAAGGTATCGTTGCCAGGTTGATCGGTCTGTGGTTCCCTAGGTCCTCCTTCCTTCCTTTTTCAAAAACTGAGACATTTGCCTTTCTCCAGTAATCTGGTAGGTCATCTAGTCTTCAGGATTTCTCAAAGACTTTTGGCCACATCTTCAGCAGCTTCTTCAATATCATAGAATGCAACCCATCTTGTTCTGGAGACTCATTCAAGATCTGTTGGTATTCTCGGAATATTTATCAAGCCTTAAGGCGCAATCTGGCTCTTTCACAATGCACAGCTCATAATTAGGTTGAAATAATTACCCATAATATATCAGCTCATCAGACCCAGCTTCCATTACTATAAAATGAGTGGACTCTTCTGTCTCCTCTTTACAAGCCTTATAAAAAAAATAAATACATAGGTTTTATATTTTATATTACATTTTATCTTACAAATTACATTACAACATAATTGGACTTTGTATTTGTTGGAAAATTGTAATAGGTAAATTATTAGTTTGCACGAAGCACAGATATATTCAATAAAGTTAAAAAAAATAGTTTGAGGTTTACTTATCAAACATTAGCAAACATCTAAAACAGCTGGCAAAAATGAGAAAAAAAGCAGACAAAAGTAAGGCAAAACCCCCCACCAACAATACATAAAGGATGAAGAGTGTGGAGAATTTAATAAAATGTTCTATATTATTTACCTTTATATATCAAAAAGCACAAAACTTTCCAGATCTTCTGGAAACAATACTGTAGGCAATTAGTATAGACAGCCCCAACAGGAATGGCCTTTAATTGTTCCAGCTTTAACCCTTTAGTGTGTGGACTAGAACTGGAAAATAGAATACCAAATGATTCTGTCTTCTATTGTACACCATGGAAGTAACAATTTGGTGGAACATTTGATGATGTATCCAAATGACGTCTTAGTTATGCTACACATTTTTATCCTTAAATCAAAGTTTCAGCTATAACAGCATCCCAGTGGTCATATGATTGTGATGTTGATGCTGGGCAATCGGTCTGAATTTTCAACAATATCAGTTTTACAACCTTACCTGCTGGCTTCCCACAAGCAAAGTCAACAGGGAAACTGACAGAAAGTCAAAAGTTGTGGTCATATGAAGTCGTTGCTTAATGACACACCGTGATTCACCTAATGATGTGGGAACTGCTGGAATGGCCATCGCTAAGCAGCATGGTGATGCAATGAGCTTTACAACCACATTACTTAGCAATGGAAATTTGGGTCCTAATTGCTATCACTAAGCAAGGACTACCTGTAGTACAATTAACTTTATTAAACTGTTGACCTCTGTGTTCTGCTTAAGTTTAGATAATGCTAAATTAATTTTGTTCTGCATAAATATTCTTTTTCCTTCACTAAAAAAAAGTTTGAAAGATTGAGGGCAAAAGGAGAAGGGGACAGCAAAGGATGAGGTGGTTAAATAGTGTCATGGATGCAATGAACATGAATTTGGAAAAAACTCCAGGAGACCATGGAGACAGGATGGCCTGGCATGCTATGGTCCATGGGGTCATGAAAAGCCGAACACAATTGAACAACAAGAAAACCAAAACTTACTATACATGTCCCATTCAATATTGCTGTGGCCACAGCACACAGATGTGACTTAGTTAAATAGTTGTCAAATAATTAACATAAAGCTACACACATGAAGATAACATATTATATACTTTTGTGACCCGATTAAAAGAGAACTAACTAGGCATTATATACTTACATCATCAAGGATCTTGATTTTCAAAGAAGGCTCAGAGCTTGTAGGAACAATATCAAGTTCTTCATGTTCCAAAACATCTGCCCAATACTTTTTCATTTCTATTGCTGGAAATAAAAAAATAAATTTTGCCATCAACCAGTTTTTAAGATTGGTAATAAATATTTCTGCATGACTAAAATAACAATACCTGCTTGTTGAAAGAATATGGTTTTCTTGCCTTATATTCTAGGAACGAATGTTTTAGACATTTAGCATAGTACTTAAAATTAGAAGATGTATCTTTATTGAAAATTATAGTTTGCACTATATGAACTATATGAATCCCATGGACTTATATGAATAATAAAATATGGAAAACCACATAAGTAAAATCACAATTCTTCTATGATTTTTTCTATGTTTAGATTATATTCTGCTGATTTTAATGAAAGTAATTTTATTAGCAATTTTAAATGTGTATACAATTATGTAAATATTCTCTTTAGCTGAATAAGAACTATGATCATTCCTGCTTATTTCTAAAGAAGGCAGATCCATTTATAGTGAAAATTGATATGAGTCACAAGGAAGGTGGGTTGGACATATTCACCACCATATTTGTAAAAGGTGGGATATAAATAATAGAACTAAATAAATAACATGGATTAAATGTGCATCTTGCTATGAAAACACACTAACTAGGAGACAAACCAATATTCCAATGCATGGAGCTTTTGACTTCTGCTATAGAAAAAAGAAAGGACATAATTTTAATAAATAAAACATTTTCTAGGTCAAATACCAACTGTTAATAGTAAATTAATAACGAGGGGGGTTTCTTTGTCAAAAGAATAGGAATCATACTAAATTGTGCCAGTATCTAAAGAACAATGTTTTGCTAGACATCCAAAATTCTGTCTCTCTGCTTTCTAAAGACACTTTACCTTCTGGTGAGATGGATTCCCAGAAGAGTCTAGCAGGTTTTTGATTATGCTAAATGAGGAGAAAAGTATTTTCCCACATTTTCTGTCCTTATCTAAGCATATATGTAACTTGACTAGATTCCTAGTTCTCCATTCAGCACAGGGCACTAAGGTGCAGTAAAGTATTACAGCTTTATCTTAATTGAAAGGAGTTGGGATGAAAAAAGATATTAGCTATTTTTTCTGCTGATTCCTTCTTTATCTAGGCTCCCAAATGAAGAAAGATTCTGCCTTTGTCTCTACGCTTGTTAAGGGGCAAAGAAAAACAAAGATCCCCATATAATAAGCGAAACCAATACTTAGGAATCCCAACTATAGTTTTCCCTATAATTGTACCATGTGGAATTCACTCGGATCAGATTTTTAAATAATGAGAATGGGTTCAATGATTATAGTTTCCTTTTTCTCAAAATTCTTTCTGTTTTCTTTGTTTTGGGTTTGGTGCAGCAATATCTGGTTGTATTTAAACATTCCCCTGACATATGTTGGTGTTGACTAATATGTCATTTCACTTCCCCCAAAGCTAATTTACTAACTGAATTCTTGTAGTGGTTTTGTCTTAGACATACACAGTGATGTATGAAAAGCCAACTAACCTATATCACGAGCATTTGTTATATCTTCCTCTTCCTCCTCCTCCTCCCCCTCTGCCTCCGCCTCCTCTTCTGCCTCTTCTTCTTCCTCTTCTCTGCTGCAAGTATCAGGGATTTCACTTGACAATGATTCCTTGAGTTTTAATTCATCCATTATAATGTTATATGACAATTGATCAACTGGAGTTCTAGAAATGAACATAAGGAAGATAGTGCTTTAAAAATTAAAAAAAATAATCTTAATAGGTGTCAAAGCAATAATTATACACTGCAAGAAAAATCAAGTGCATAATCTGTTGGTGGACTCAGTGATACCTGCTGGAATACCGGTAGATGTTGTGGCCAAGAAACTATAATTTCAGCAACTGATCCAGGTGTATGTGGAGTTGCCCATGAAGTCGCAGATTGCACAAAATGCAGTTGCTTACTTGCTGACCAGCCTCAGCAGAATCACACCTAATCTGAAAGCATTCTACCAGTTGCCAAGAAGCTTCCAAACCCAATTTAAGATGCTAGTTTGTTGCTTATAAAAGCCTATTGTCTTCTCCAGGTAGAATCTGCCCACCTGATATGATACAGCCAGGAGAAGATGCTATGATACTCATTTTAGTGAAATTGAAGGTATAGAGAAGTGGAAAATGGCATTCACAACTGTAGTTCCTTTACTTTGGAACATCTTTTCCTGTGGAGCTAGTTAAGTCTCCTGCTTTTAACCTTTAGGAAGGAGATCCAATGGAATTCTAGGATGCATCAACACAGGGATAGCATCAAGAACACAAGAAATGATAGTATCACTCTATACTGCACAAGTAAGGCCACACCTGGCATACTACATTATGATACCATGATACCGAAAAAGATTCTGAAGCCTTAAAAAGAGTGCAGAGAAAAATAGAGATAATAAGGGATCTGGAGGCTAAATGGTACAATGAATGGTTAAGGAAACAAGGTATATTTAGCCTAACAAAGAAAAATGTTAGGGTGACATGATAGCCCTCTTCAAATACCTGAAGGGCTTTAACAGAGAAAAGGGATTGATTTATTCTCCAAGCACCTGAGGGCAGGACAGGAAGCAATGGGTGAAAACTAGTTTGAGAAATATCCAACCTGGAATTAAGGAGAAACTTCCTGACAGTGAGAACAATTAGTCAATGGAACATCTTGCCTCCCAGAGTTGAGAGAGCTCTATCGCTAGTGATTTTCAAGCAAAAACTGGATATTCATTTGTCAGGATGGAATAAAGTCTTCTGCCTTGGCCAGGGGTTTGGACTAGAAGACCTTCAAGGTCCTTTCCAGTCCTATGATTCTCTTCCATTAATTTTTGGGGGAAGTGAAGACAGCAGCATTTTTTTAAAGGTGTAATGCTTCTTTGGATATTTTTTAATATACTGTTGTAAGCCCCTAGAATGTTTTGAGGAGGATACAAATATCTGTATTAAAAACTGCAATAATAAATAAATTGTAGCAAAATAACATTTGGTTCAAGCCATCTACAGCTGAGCTACACTGAAGAATGGTCCACTGTTTTTCAACAACAACAACAACAACAACAACAACAATAGTAATGTTGAAAGGGACCTTAGAGGTCATCTAGTTCATCTTCTCTGTACTCTCATCAACATTTGCTCACAAGCAACTGAATAATTCAAGTTCAACAGCCAACAATAACAGTTTACAATGCTAACATTCATTCCAATTATTTTCTTTTATTGGTGAAGAATCTGAAACCTATTGCAATTGCTTGCTGGTATATAACTGGTAACAAAAAAAACCCACCTTGGTATTTATTACTGTACTTCATTCCTAATCAGCATTTAGAATAAGCTATCCTTCTGCAAAGCAATATTTTCTAATATTATTATACAGTTTCATTTATTTTAAAATGTAGGTTTCCCTCACATATTGCAGCTATCCAGTCAATACCTTCTATGCTTCTTAATTAATAATCTTTCCATATAGTTCAAGCTATCTTCTTTGAATTCAATTTCAATAGACTTTTTCATAATTGGAGGGCTCGTCTGCACCTGACATGTACCCGAATTTTCTATAACAATAAGAGAAAATTGTTAGCTATTATTTTAGCACATGAAGGTATCACTTTTGCCTGATTGTAATTTTATTTAAAAAAAAGTATTAAAAGTTTTAAAGAGAAGATAAAAACTAACAAAAACTAATGTAAAGAAAGACAAAAAGATAAAGAAAAGGTCCTGGGAAAAAGGATAAAAAGAAACAGAAGTGGCTTCCAATTTTCTCTGAAGCAAATATGAGTACAAGGTTATTTCTTACTCTATGTTGACAAAAACAAAAGCTCACTTCTTCTATTATCCAGTTTTTTTCTAATCATTAAATGCATTTTCCTAGTACATGCAAAAAAAGTATGTAAGGGGTTTCCAATCATTCATAAATATAATTAATGTCTTTTGTCTAATCATCTCTGCAGGTTCCATCATCTTCACTAACCATTCCTCCATTGTGAGCAGTGTCGTCCTCAACTTACAACGGTTCATTTAATGACTGTTTGAAGTTACAACGGCACAGGAAAAAGTGATCTATGACCACTTTTCACACTTACAATCATTGCAGCATCCCCATGGTCATGTGATCAAAATTCAGTTGCTTGGCAACTGGTTCATATTGACGACAGTTGCCATATCCCAGGGTCACGTGATCACCTTTTGTAACCTTCTGACAAAGTCAATGCAGAAGCCAAATTCACTTAACAGCCATATTCCTAACTGAACAACTGCAGTGATTCAGTGAACAACTAACTCACTTAGCAACAAGTGACTTTTTTCCTAGCTTTTCTGTCCATGAGATCCAAAAGAAAAGGCTCTGGTTTCAATTATACTTTAGTCTTTAAAAATCCTCTGAATTAGTATATGCATTTCTATCCATTTTTTCTGGTTTTATTACACATCTTCTAAACATGACAGAATATTCATTCATGTTTATCTGACTGTTAATATTCACTGTAGAATACTAACAGGATCTGTGGAATATTTAAAAGAAAATCCTTAAACATAATCTAGAATACAGTATTAATATTCACTAGAATAACATGCAACTCATAAAATCAATACTGCCATAATCATAAGCTCTTTGCACTGAAATTCCATTAAGTCTTAGCAAATAAGCTCCCCATGACCCCAGGAACAAAATCAGCACAGAAGTACAGATTAAAACAAAAATGGTGAAAGGGTATAACGGCTGATTAAATATGTGAATGGTAATTTTGCATTGCATACAAAAAGAGACAGAGACAGAAAGACAAGCATACCACTTGAAGAACATGGGGCAACTTGTTACTGTTTTCGTGTTCGGGAGAAGAAGCAACCATCTCCTACTTTTAGATTGAAAATAAAGTTGAACTTTTATGCTGGTTTTTCAAAAGTTTTGCGTTAAAAAAAACAGACATATCCAGTACCTGACCCAACCTGGCAGGAACGTTCTTCTTTACTTTTCTGGGAACAATTTCCACTTCTCCACTGATTTAGAGCTTCTTGAAAAGACTTTGCAGATTCTTTTTCATCAAAGGTACCATGCAGAAAAAATCCACCATTTTGAATCTCAGCCCAGCCCTCGGTAGAAAGTTCTATAGAATGTTTCTGAATTAATTAAAAAATTAACTTGAATTAAATGAATTTGTTGTTTTTGAGTGCATCACCCAGCTATAAAATAGGTTGTGGGCAGCATTTAAAAGTATGCTTCGCAAAGCACACTGGCACACATAAATTTCCCAGCTGCTTCAAGGAGTTTTCCAAATTATCTCTAACTGCATACATGAACACAGCTGCTTTGCCAGGAAAACTATTGTTTTTGACTGCCCAGATAACCAGAGATATCTTTCAACGGGCACACCTACTGTGTTCAAAGAGGGATGGGTCACTAAAGCCAATGTATTTCATTAATGCTTGGCATAGCCATAATATTGTGCCATTACTCTCATCCTTAACAACATACATACGAATAACATGTAAGGTACTACAGGTAGTCCTTGACTAAGGCAGTTTTTAAGTGAGTCATGCTCAATTTTATGATTTTGTTACAATGCAATAACAGCCCTGAAGCATGGATTAAAAAAGAAAATTAAGAAAATATTGGATATGAACTCAAATATCTAATATTATTCAACTGTCCAACAACAAATAGAAAAGCAAATTATTTTCTTTCAAGAATTTTCCCCGAGCTGCTTTGATTAGATAACATCCTAAATAAGTGAATTTTGGTTATGATTACGTTATAGAAGTGTCTCTATTTTTAAGATCCCAATCTTCTGGTTGCAAACATCATACACTACCTCAGTATTATCCGTTGGTGTTTTTGGTGAAAATGGAGGAACAGCAACTATATCCTCTACTCTAGTGGTCACTTTTTTTTCCTGTCCATTATTTATGAAGTCATTAGTCTCCGTTGGATTGACAGTTTTCAGGAACTGCTGTGCAGCTTCCAGTTTTCCAACTGAGATACGTGCTTTTCCCTATGGAAAAAAAGACATATATGAAACTCAAAACAAATACAAAAAAACTTTGCATCCCTGTATAATCAACAGATCACTGTAGACATCCTATTCTGATGATAGCAGGCAAAGAAGCAAACAGTTTACAGATTAATATTTGGCTGTTCTCATTTAGTTTTCCTGCATTCTTATCTACATGTTCATTCCTTTCTCTCTCTGGCTTCTTTCTAGATAACCGGCTTTGTTATTCACAGTTATTTTCCAGGATTTCAGCCATTTCCAAAAAAATCCGTTCTTTCCTTCCTTAACACATTAAGATGGATGCCTAATACTCATTGACACAATTAACTAGGGTATATGTAAGATATCTGTTAGCTCTCACCTCACATTCAGGAGGCTGTGAATATTTCTCTCTCTGGGCGCAGACAGAAAATATCTGCTGCGAACTCTGCATAGGTGTCAGGAAGGGCATCTGGCCAGTAAATGTTCAGCTCCATTTAGTCTCCCCGATTCCACCCTAATGCTAAGCAGTGTGGTGGCCTAGAGGTGGAGCTCTCACCTTACATTGAGGAGGTTGTGAGTTTAATCCTAGGTAGTAGCAGATATTTCTCTGTCTGGGAGCAAAGAAAAATATCTTCTATGAACTCTATGTGGGCATCAGGAAGGGCATCCGGCCCGTAAATGCTCAGCTCCATTCAGTTGCCCTGACTCCACCCCAGTGCAAGAGATTATAGGGTTGTTAAAAGAAAAAAATATATAAGATATACTGTGAATTTAGGCTGCCTAAATTCACAACAGTATAGCAAATTCTTAATTAAGATTAAGCAAAGAAAAACACAAATCTATCAATAAAAAGCAGGTAATTTAAATATTAAGAATTAAAAGGTACTATTCATTTTAATATTACACAGATTATTCTATATAATAGAAATAGATAGTATAATTAAAATTGTTGTACAAAACAAATAAAGAGTCAAGTTAGTGTTTACCCCAAAATACATCATTGTAAATAAACATTCCTGTATTAAAGAACTACATATGTTATGTATCAGCTCTGGCAATCTGTGGTTTTGGACTTTTTATTTGAAGAAAATGATACAATTTGCTCTGCTTAACCAAGAAGTAACTAATTGAATTTAATATGCAAGGGAAAGTGGGAGCATAAATGGCCTATACTCTATAAAACCAAAGGTCAGAAACATGAATACACAGAAAGCAGCCAGTGACACAAGCACGATTATCTTAAAGCATTAAACATTTTAAGGGGGAAATCTAATTATAAAAATTGCTAATGTTTTACTCTAAAATTGGAGAATACTTAAGGCACTTCTAGGGACACTACATTTTTACAAACAAGATTTTACAGCATACCCCTTGCAAATTATATATCTGAACCATCAGAATTTTTTCTTCCATGTTTTGAACAAGTTCTTCAAACAATTACTCCAACAGAATCAAGAGACTAAATAACACAATATATAAATTCACTAAGATATCTGTAAGGGTTAATGAAGATATTTTAATATTATAAACAACAGTCTAATTGCATTGCTTTTTACATTCAACATTAGACTTTCTCAACTCGATGGTGTTTGGATTCTGTCTCTCTCTGTATATTTGTTCTCATTTTTTGCTAGATGCAAGGAGCCCCCCTTAACTGCTCTTTGAGTATTTGGTTTTGGCAATAAAGAGCAGGTGACTGCATGTCAGTCCGAAGTCATGAAAGTGTGGCTCCTGGATAAACTTGTTCAAGTCACTGTTATTACAGTAAAAAGAAAAATATCAGGAACATCAGTTTTCATCAAAGAATGGCCAACTTTATTGTGAAGTCAGTCAAAGAGAAAGAATCAGTTACAAAAAAGTATTTCATTTGGGAACAAAGCATTTTTAAAGCTGCCAGTTGGCAGATGGCAAAAGAAAGAAGTCTGTGAAAAAAAAGGATTTGAGTTCCCAACTTCAGCACTTTATGGGCAAAACGGAAATAAATAATTATAACAAAAACAACAATTCAAGTGTACAGAATATTATTTATTCTGATGTATGCTTTTTTTTTCATTACAAAAGACACAGCTAGTCTAAGATATAACATTAAGCCATAATGTGTCTTGCTTTTAGTTAGTGCCTTTTATAAATCTAATATGGCTTTGTATAATGAGTAAAGCAAGCTAGTAAGTCCTTTAAATGTGTTTTTTTAAAAATTTTGCTTTAGCAATATGTATGGATGAAGCAACATTAATTGCTTGCTCTGAGCTCACAATTATAGCCTTACCTTTTTCATCCTTTTCTTGTTTATCCATAAACGTTAATTCTTTCTTAGAAGAAACTAATTCCCAATTCATACTGTTCTAGCTTCCAAAATATCTTCATTAGAAGTAGGACAATTCAATCTATTTAAATTTTATTGAATTGGCCCTATTATAACTCCAAAATAACCCTCCATATTTGACCGGTTATAGGCAAATTAAAACAGGCCCAGTTTATTTTCTTACTTCAAATGTCTTCTCTAATAATCCAATTTTACAAAATACTATAAAATGTGTAAGTTAACCATGAGTTATATGAAGAGATATCTTTTTTCCATTTGTCCAAAAACTATAACCAGCCATTTTGATTAATTTATCATGTATCATCAACTTGTCAAGTCTCAGTAACTACATGTGTAGATTTTTTTCCATAATGATCTGTCCCTAATCTTTCAGATCTTCCAATAGTGCAACCATTGAGTCCATCAACCTTGCTGCTGGCTGTCCTCATCTTCTCTTCCTTATTTCTGGCAAACTCTTTTTACATTCTTCCCAAACAATTTCTTTTTAGTTGATCCCACAATTTGTCTTGTTCAGGACTTCAAAGCAATTTCTGATGTTCTCCTTGAAAATGATGGGTATATGCTCAAGATAATACTGTGGTTGGCTTTCTTCCTCTTTAGTTTAATTCAGAACTTGCATATGAAAAGTTCATGATCTGTTCCAGCTGGCACTTGGCCATTTCTTTGATGCTATAATTGAGATCTTTCATCTTTTAATAAGAATATAGTCAATTTGGTTTCTATATATTCCATCTGACAACAACATGTATAGGGCAACCACTTGGTTCTTTGAAGACAGTCTTAGCTATGAAGAAACCATTGGAGTGGGACAATTGACAAGTTGATCTCCTGCTTCATTTTGGTTTCCTAAGCTATCCAACTACATTTTCCTCTTTAATGTTTCCAACTTCAGCATTTCAATCTTGAATCACAAATAGAACATCTTGCTTGCATTTGCTGTCAATTTCAAATTGAAGATAATCATAAAACTCATCCACCTTCTCTTCTTCTGCACTGGTAGAGACAGCATAAACTTGAAGGATTGTCATATTAAAAGTCTCCATGAAGTCTGATATTACTGAGTCATTGGTTGCATTGTATCCAAGAACTATTGTAGCTATATCTAGTCTAGCTATAAAAGCAATATTATTCTTTGTTTTTCAAGTCCCGAGTAATAAGCCAAGTGATCTTCTGACTAAAAGTGTTCAATCCCAGTCCTTCTCAATCTGATGATGCCTAAGATGTCAATTTGTAGCCAGTTCATTTCATTTTTCATTGGGCTAAGCCAAGGGTAGGCAACCTTGGCTCTTTTATGACTCGTGGACTTCAACTCCCAGAATTCCTGAGCCATTGATGGCTCAGGAATTCTGGGAGTTGAAGTCCACGAGTCATAAAAGAGCCAAGGTTGCCTACCCCTGGGCTAAGCTTTTCTTTGTTTATTCTTCTTACATTCCATGTCCCTACTGCAACTGTATCTTTGAAACTGAGAATTTTCTTTTCTTGTATGGCATCATTAGCAAACAGACATTCCAAAAGCATTAATCTAGCCACATCCTAAACACCATTATCCTCAGCAATTCCTCAGAAGCATGCTGAGTACTAAACAACCTGAAGGCATCATTATTGTCAATCCTTTCATATTTTCTATTTATGTGATTTTCTTTGTAAAAATATAGGAATGGTTTGTCGTTGCCTTCTCCCACGAAGCATGAATTGATGCCTTTATCACCAAAGAGATCATCTGTCTCTGATATCTTCCTATATCGCTGCTGCCCAATATATCTTTGCTTTAGCTGGGTAGTTAGGAAATCTTTGCACCCTAGATGACCCTGCTAGGAAAGTATATTCTTGGCATTCTCTCCCAATGTTCTTCACTCACCTCACCCGAGAACAGCCCTGCCCACTGCAGTCATGATGAGTTAGCACAGCAGGACTTGAGAGGCACTTTAACGTGACTAGTTTTGATTAATGCACAAAATGTGTCTCCACTCACTTTACACTACATATATTAAATCAACCATACAAAAAGACTACTTGGATGTGGTAATATTTGGAACCATATGCAAGTGGCTAACATGTATGTGCTTCCAAGCAGATAACCATTCCACTAAGATGAATGGTGGACATAATTAAGTGAGAAGGACTCAAATGACTGACTTTTTTTCCCATAGCTCTATGTTCCAAATGTTACTACATATTGTGGGAGAAGCGCATTTCCCATGCCATTATGACAGCAGAAAATAGGGGCATAAGAGATGGTGGAGGAAAACTCTGTACAGATCAAAAACAGCTCTAGGATGTTTTCTCTGAAAGGCAAGTCCAGCTGGAACAAACTGAATAGCAAGAGATGTTCAGTTACACAAAATGAATGGTTTCGTTAGAAAAGATACAAAAAACGGGTGTGATCTCTACCTCTTTTATATATAAAGTGATATATTCTTAATGAGAGTATATTCTGTTGCTTTCAATCGGGAAGGCTGCTTGCTGGGCCAAAGTGCTCATGTGACCAGATTACTGCATAAAAGCACTTATCCTGCAAAAATGTCATACCCATTACAAGCTATCAGCAGATAATGATAATTATTTGCATTAGCTGAACAGAGTTATGGACTTTAAACACAATTCTCTACACAGAGTTTCAAGTATGTATTGTGGGTTTCGTATTCATTTAGGGCTGTTTCTATATAATAACATTGGTTAAGAGTAAATAGAGAGTAAGACTGTCAACCTGCCAAAAGAATTTCTACATATCACAGATAAAAGTGCTCCTAAATTTGCCTTGGTGGCTGTTTGTGCATGTATTTAGTGGTAATATGCCTTCTAAGAAGAGTTTGCAATGATTAAATAAGGCTTTACAAAGAAATATACCTGCAAAGAAGTTGTTCTGTGGAGTTTCAGTGCTCCCTTCTGGTGTATTCTGGCAAAGCAACTAGGACAATAATCTTCTCCACATTCTAAACACACCTTGTGGGGAGAAAAAAGGAAATTAAGATATAAATATCTTCAATACATACCTTTGTGATCCTAAAACACTTTGCAGTTTACCTGATTGTACTTACAGCTCCTTACACTAAATAAGAAAACAGATCCAAAGAAATATAAGAAAAAGCCTCCTATTATAAAGCCACTGAGCTAGTTGAAATGGAGAGGGATTATATTGTGAGGCACTAATCTTTCTCTTTTTGTACAAGAGAACTATATCCTTTTGCAATCACCAGAATCATTTTTAGCTTTAAAAACTGAATAATAAATAAACAAAATTTGCACCCTTCAAGACAATGAAGCCCTCCAGTGGCTTATGAAATTTATGTACCATGCAGATGCTAACAGAGTATTTTTTATTTAAGTAACTCAAGGCAATAAAAATACATAACACTCCTTCCTCCTCCTATTTTCTTCACAACAACCCTTTGAGGTGAGTTTGGGTTGAGAGCAGCTGAATGGTCCAAAGTCACTCAGCCCTGCTTTCATGCCTAAGGCGGACTTGACTTGATTTAATTTAATTTAATTTAATTGCCAGAGAAGAGAATTATAAAGACATTATTCTATCTAAGATTCTAAAAAAAAATATTGCATTCTAGTTTATTGTGTATGAACTTCTCAAAATGGAGTAATTATTCCATGTCACTATTTGAAATTGTAACCTTTTTTGGTTTGAAAAAAATAATACAATTTTTCTGAAGAAAAATTCTCACAAATACAGCATGAATTAGGTTTGATTTTTTAAATACATTTCATAGTAGGCCATTTTCACAAACAAGAGGATGCAATGCACAATAATTTCAGCAGTTGTTTCATTCATAATATTTTGTCCCAAAGTACCAGGTACAATGGGGGGATTCAGCCAGTTTGCACCACTTCAGCAGAACGGGTAGCTAATTTTTTGTTGCCCAGGCCCAGAATGGACTTCCGGAAGCGGCATCCACACAGAGAACCAGTTGTTCACATATTTGAATCCCACCACTGATCAGGTCCTCATAGTTATCAACTAGGTTAATCAATTTTAGGCATTCTAAAGCCATGCTAGCTGGCCGTGCTGGGACTTTGACATTTAGCTAAAGAATAGGCCAGAGGAGGCTTTTTCAAAGTAATTTAAGAAAATTTATTACACTAGATCTGAGCACTTGTTTTTTAAAAAAGAAGTCAAACATTTTTAAGGTCGGCAAAGCTTATATTAATTATGATGTAATTATATAAATTATACTAATATAATATATGTTGTATCAATTTATTATATTAATATAAATTAATTATATTAATTTCAAAAGCATTTTAGCAAAGATAATTTTTAGCTTGTAAATTTATTTTTTTAACATAAGCCATTTATAAGACAAAAATAAGAGCAGGATTTTATCAAATACAAAATAAACTTGATACATCTTATTTTTTTAATATATTTTTCTGTCCAAAGTCAGCCAAATAATGTTCCCACCTACTTACTAGCAATGCAGCCTTCATCTCGCATTGACCACAGGCCTTGCCCTTCACTTTAGGTCTTTCAGTGGCTGCATCATTTGCTGTTTTAAGTACAAATGGCTGCTTGGCTGGATCCGGAGCTGCAAAATGTAGATTTGTTTTTAAAGCAAGCAAGCAAGAAACATAGATAAATGCACTGCACTAATAAGTAATTTGGCAGTAAAGAGGACTAACATATTCCCCCTAATGGTGCTGTAGTTGTTTTCAGTATCATGAATTTGTTCTTCGTGCATTTGTTCTTTGATATAAGCTACTCAAAATTATTTAGAATTAAGTAGCCTATATGTCACAGCAATAAATAAACTATTAAGTCAAAGTAATTGAAATTCTAAAAGTAATCTTGGCAACCTTATAGTATAATAAATATTTTCAGACTGTTTCTCAAGGCATATGTTACTTCTCAAGTTCTCCTTTATGCAGATCTTTACACTGTCCACTGAAAGCATAAACAAAGTTGGCAATATGCTAGAACTATGGCTCATGACCGCTCCCCCATAATGCTGAAAATCCAACATTAGGTGCAGGTGGCCCTTGGCTTATAATCAGTTGTTTAATGAATGTTCACAATCACAATGGCCTTGGAAGGGTGTTTTATGGCCGGTTAAAGTACTGCCAGCTATTGTAAAATGTTACACCAGCACCCGGTCATATGCTTGCATTTCAGGTGCATGACAATCTGTTTGCATTTACGACCAGTTGACAAGTGCCTTGCAATCATGTGATTGTCATTTGCAATCTTTTCTGCCAGCTTCCCCAGGAAGCTGGAAGGGAAGGATGCAAACAGAGGGGACGCTGGATTTGAGGTCCTTTCCCCCATCATGCTGAAGGAAGGGAAAATCCTCCCACATACTGAAGGAACAGCCCTGATGTGAAAACCCTAGTGAATTCCACCATTTTGAGCTTTTCAGAATGCTGCCATTTGCTAAGGTTTAACCAGGTGTCATTGTTTGTGCCCTTCCCATAGGGAAAAATACTAGCAAACACCATCATCCTGAGCCTTTCCATCAGAACAGAAAATACTAGCTAATGGCAGCATTCTAAGCGTTCCAGAATGATGGTGTTGCGAGCATTTTCGCCAGATTTGAGGTCTGTTCCTCCAGGATACCAAAAGGTTTCTGCTCCGGAGGGGAATTGATGGAACAGACCTTAAATCTGGCAAAAATTCTAGCAAGTCAATTATTCTTGCAATCATTTCCCTTGGCTTCCCAGCTGTCTGCTTAACAACTTGCAGGGTTGTTAAAAGATTGCAATGGGGAGAGTGGGAATTGCACTTGTTGAGTAAAGCATGGCATCTTGCTTAATGATTGCTTTGCTCAATGACCAATTCCAGGCTCAGTTGTGGTCCTAAGAGGAGGACCATTTGTAATGTTATGCAACCCCAAAATTTATTATGTAATTAAATTGATAGAAACTTGTTAAGTTATCAATTTTCACAAGATGTTTATGTTATCATCTGAAAACGCATGAGATCTTGAGTAAGGCATCAAACAATTTTTAAAAATAAAGCTGTTGTTATTATGACTGGTCATGTAGTCAGCCAGATGTTTAGACTATATTTGGTATTTTTCTCCACCTATCGCATATTTTCCAAGGCACCGGGATAAGCAGATGTTGTTTGATGGTGTTAAGTGTGTTGTCACAAGGATGTAATCTATTCCAAGTAAAGCTGTCTTTGCCAATTGACTGTTGGAGATTTTATTAATGCCAATGGTGTTCAAGTGTGCTCCAATTGTTTTGGTATTGCATCCAAGGTGCCTATTACTATTGGTACTATCTTTGCTTTCTTTTGCCACAGTCATTGTACTTCTATTTGCAGGAGTACAATCTGCACTGTTCTCATGAATTATCAGTTATTCATGGAATACAGATTGAAAACCATTTTGGTAGACTGGTTAATTGGGTGATTTATTTTTCTCATTTTGAAAATCAATCTGGTAAGGCACTGTCACCAGTTAATTCTTTTAACCTACTTAAAGCGGCTTCTGTAAGATTTCCTCAATGAAAAAATAGCCATACTTGCAACCACATTTGGATTATTGCATTATTTTTCAAATCTCAACATTGCTAATACCTTGTTACCTGGAATATGTTCTTTAAGTAGCCTCAGTTTTACTCTGCCTGAAGGAACCTGAGAAGGAAGGAAGGAAGGAAGGAAGGAAGGAAGGAAGGAAGGAAGGAAGGAAGGAAGGAAGGAAGGAAGGAAGGAAGGAAGGAAGGAAGGAAGGAAGGAAGGAAGGAAGGAAGATTAAATTAAACTGTGATTTCTCCAATTGTTCTATAACTTCCTTTTCTTTCCCAACACTAGCCTTCATGGAGCTAGCTATTTTGAAGGCAAGTGTTTTAGATCATGTGGGAATGCAAAGACATAGTCTTTGTTAGCAACTTCTTAAATCAACTGCACTTTCTCCCAGGATTTTGTGGCTGCCATCCTCAGGTACAGTGTGCTCCCCAGAAAAATTAGTTTAAGGAGTTGAAGACAAGAGTATTAAATTAATACAATGAATTAATTAAACTTAATTTATTTCATAGTTATCTTATTTTTCTTCTTTTTAAAATGACAATCATAAGGGTTCCTCATTAAAAAAAATTTGATACTCTGTGGTCTTTAAAACTGCTGTGCTAAAACATGAGAATTACCACAGATGAGAAAAAGCTGCAAGTCATCAAGACTAATAAGAAACAATGTGAAGGAAGCTTTTTAAGATAAAGGGTTCTTTTAGGAAATGATAAATGATGATGAAATGATCAAATTCACACGCAGAAATGGAAGATTCTCAGGAATTGTGAAACACATTTTTACTAACAGTTAAAACAACATTTCAAAAATCTGTAAACATGTCAGGGGTCTGGAGGCATGAGTTGCTAAAGGGAAAATTAAAATTCTTTTGTCTGTCACTTTATCTAGTTAAAATCATATATCTACGCCAGACTTTGTGTATTCAGAAACCTGGAGAACTGTGGCAAATACACCTTTACTGAGTAAATGTCCAGAGGTGGGCAACAAAAATGGTGAAAGGTCTATGGGACAAAACATATCAAGTGAGATAGGGAAAAAAGAATCTGTACAGCCTGTGGGACAAAAGGGAAAGTAGGGACATGATTGAAACCTTTAAATACACTTAAGGCTATGAATAAGGTTCTAGAAGGCAGTGTTTTCAATATTAAGCAAAAATCAAGGATACAAGGATATAACCTCAAACTGACAGGAGGGAAGTTCATATAAAGTATTCCTTCACAAAAAGAGTAGAGGAAGCTTGGAACCAATTTCCAGCAGAGATAGTGGGTCAATTATCAGTAACTGAGTTTAAACATGCTTGAGATAAACGCATGTCTATCATCCAACAAAAAAAATTAAAAATTAAAAAAAAGAAACCCTCAAAGAGCAAACTCAATGGATCACTTTTTCTTTTTCTGCCATCACTTTTCTTTTTCTCTGTTTCTGAAGAAAATAAACACATTAATGGAATCAATGGGTGGAATTACCGTAATGGGTGGAATTTCTAAAAAAATCTCAAACGGGAATCTGCTATGATTTAGATTTTGCGACAATTTCCCTCTAGATAGAGTTGGAAGACAGTTGGTATGCCACATTCATGCAAAACAAGCCTCTTGATATGGGCAAAAAATCTGCCATTCAGGTCCAGTACTATCAAAATGTCAGAAAAAAGTTTCAATTAATCACTTTCAAGTATTTGACCACAGTGCTGTCCTACAAAAAGCCTTCTTTACTGCAGATGTTTGAATACAATTTATTTAAACATCCTAGTTCTTACCTTTATAGCATTTTCTTTGTTTTGTAAGATGGATGGTTGTGTATGTAGATTAGCTTGACCTGATTTCCATCGATACCCATTTGCTCGCCTAAAGAGAGATCCAAAAATTGTTTTATGAGCATTCATAAACTCCATTTTCAAAGGCTACTTTGTAATTTGTAGACATAAAAATTTGTTTATTAAATTTATATGCCATCCAATGCCCAGATAGGGCAATTCAAATGTTTTCATTTAGGTAAAATCCCTGAAAATCTCATAGGCAAATGAAGAATCGGTAATTTTGACACATTTATTAAGACAGTATAGCAATTCTGATTCCCTCACTAAAAGGTGCTTCAGAGCATACAAGATCATGAATATAACATCTGTTTGCAACGCTTTAAGTACAATGTCTTTCCCCAGAATTGTCAGGGCATCTCTGCAAACCCAGAAATATAACAGAATAACACAGTTTGAAGGGGCCTTGATGATCTAATCCAATCCCCTGCTGAAGCAGGAGATCTTACAACATTTCAGATAATCTCCTTTTAAAAGCCTCCAATGATGGAGCATCTAAAACTTCTAAGGCAAGCCATTCCACTGATTAATTGTTCTAACTGTCAGGAAATTTCTCCTTATTTCTAGGTTGCTTCTCTCCTTGATTAGTTTCCATCTATTGCTTCTTGTTCTATTTTCAGGTGCTTTGGGGAAAGCACAAAGATGATAAAGGGTCTTGAGTTAACATATGATGAATGGTTGAGGAAGCTAGGTATGTCTAACTCATTGAAGAGAAGGATTAGGGAGGACATGATAGATAACTGTCTTCCAGTACTTGAGGGGCTGTCATAGAGAAGAGGGGACTTTTTTTCCAAAGCACCAGGGTCAGGACAAGCAATAATGGGTGGAAGCTTGAGGAGAGATCCAACTTAGAAGTAAGAATAAATTTTCTGACAATGAAATAATTGATCAATGGAATAGTTTGCTCCTGGAGCTGTGGGTGCTCCATCACTGGAGGTTTTCAAAAATAGACTGGACAACCATTTGACTGGATAGTATAAATTCTCTTCTTTTGAGCAGAAGGTTGGACTAGAAGACCTTTGAGGTTACTTCCAGCCCTATGATTTTGTATTCTATGTCCTAGAACAAAATATCTCTAACTGCCTATTTTGTTACTTATCATCTTCTCACTGTTTGGGAATCAGAAGGAATAGGGCCTGCCCTTTGCTCCTATTGTGTTTAGTACATGTAAAAATAATTGCCAATAGGCCACTTAGTTCTTGCTTGTTTTGTAACCCAGGATTAAAGAAAACAGCAACAGCACTTTGATCCCAATTTAAAGGCTTAGATTAGGCTTCTTTTCTGGAACAAATATTTGATATTTCTTACTTGCAGTTTGTTAAAAAAAACAGATTAAATGTTACCAACCAAAGATTAGATAGACCAAACCCACAACATCATCAACCGGGGACTTTCAGACAAGTAGAGGCAAAGTGCACCAAGAGAAAGAATAATTGCTTCCAGTTCTAGTGCAACTTCACTCTTTTGCAAGCAAACAGCAAAACAAACAAACTAACAAACTGAAGAGCCATCATTTACTGTAAAAGAAAGGGAGGGAGAAACTTGTTTGAAACTAGAATGTGGTATTAAAGGCTGTGAGAAAAAGATACAAAAATGAATGACTATGGTCCAAGATAATTAGTAACACTTAAAACTTAAACAGAACTATATATCTTGTTAAGTACACTGGAACACTAATGACCACATATCTTTAAAAAGCTGATCCTGGGAAAGAAAGTTAACATTACTACTCACATCGCTGAGAAAGGGAAACAAATACAAAGAGGTTAATAAAGTAGTTCTCAAATTTATACGGAAAAAAGTTACAGATATAAGGGTCGTGCTTTGTCTGCAGAATATTTCAACGTCCGAAATGGATTCGCTCAAATAAAGAATTATTACAATTGGTGGTTTTTTTTTATAATGCAGCTATGAGCACTTAAAGAGCTCATAAGGACTGGATTTCTATTACAGTATAAGAACTTTATAAATAATGAAGCACTCTCAAAGAATGAAAAGTGAATTTGAGGAGCTGAGAGCACTTCTGATAACAAAAGCCCAATGGAAGAAAAACAAAACAAACAAACAAACAAACAAAAAAGGTTCCAATGCTACAGAAAAAGTTTTGGCCTAGAGCAGGAGTGTCAAACTGCCAGCCCGCGGGCCGGATGCATCATAGCGAAACCGCGCCCACCCCATTGCTGGCAATGGCAAAAAAAGTCGTGATACGTCACGACATGTCACATGACATTCCGAGTTTGACATCCCTGGCCTAGAGTGTATGTCTAAATCAGTGTTTCTCAACCTTGACAATTTTAAGGCATGTGGACTTCAACTCCCAGAATTCCAAAGCCAGCAATGCTGGCTGTGGAATTCTGGGAGTTGAAGTCCACATGCCTTAAAATTGTCAAGGTTGAGAAACACTGGTCTAAATGTAAATAAAGACATTTCTTAAACTTTGGTCCAGTTGTCATGATTTAACCTTTTTAGATGCTTTTGGCCAGGATGATTGAGTTTTCATTTACATTTGCAATACATTTGGGGGAAACCCCTGCAGTAAGTATGGTACATTCCAATGACTCTCTGGCTAACTTTTTTTTTTTTTCATTTTGACTGAATAATTTACTTGGGTGAATAACGAAATGTCTTGGTTTAATAAACTATGGTCCAGTTCCTATGATTTAACTTTTTTAGATATTTTGGTCTAGTGTAAAGCTACAGTATATACTAAGCCAGAAATGTATTGAATCTTCTCCTGCAGTTGCTGGCATAATAATCCAGATACAGTAGTTTTCTGTTAAAAATCACTTTTCCAGTTTGGATTTAAAGGCATGACACCTACAGTTTCTATCAAGATAGCAATTGGTAGAAACATGCTGAATTGGGCTGGTATGGTAGAGTAGGATAATTTACATAGGAGTAGGGATGGAAAAACAATAAAAAATATCTGTTAGAGTACAGAAAGTTTTTTTTAACACAGAATGAAAATATACAATCTTAGAGCTATTTTCCAACTGTGGTTAGACAGAGCTATTGCTATGAACTCATTTATGGAAAGTGAAGATTACTCTGAAAGAGGGCGTTCATAACTATAACGCTAAAAACTTTTATTATTCTGACTGAAGGAAAATGTCACTTTCTCACAACTAGCCATTTTAAAAAGTTTCATTATTCTTTGTACTATTTTATGGTTAATTTAAAAACTGGCAGGTACTTCAGATATCATTAAATTCAGTTTTTTATCTAATGCAAAATTTGCTACAATATAGCAAAAATTCATTTTAACAGACTAATGGTAAGAAATTGTTATTTCCAAATATGCAATAAATTCACAGCAAATAAAACCGCTACAAATTCACAATAAATTCGTTACAAAACTGCAGCGATTCACATCATTTGTATTAATTGACATCACTGGTGAAATGTCATTAAGCAAAAGACATTATGCAAATGAAAATTACATAATTCTGCAACCATTTCTGTCATTATTTGCAAAACAACATCAACATGAAAGTGACACAAATTGTGTGTCATTCCTGTCACTTGACATGAAACAGCATAATCACTGAAGAAATGTAGTCCTTTGCATTTAAAGTCCATTATATCAAGTCCAGTAACATGAGATTTCCTTGTGCTGCCATTCTTAAAATATTCAAACCCTTCCTGCTTTTAAGGCAAAAATGCTTTTATGAATTTTCTATCCATTTATAGACATTCCTGTCCATGCATATCATTGATTAATTCCCTGTATCTTTACACCCACTTCAGACAATTTTTCACTAATGAAAGGTTGATAATTCCCTTCCTGTAGGTGACATTTTATCATACATTACTTCTGTCCCTCCGGCTAACAGATAGGGACTCTTATCGCTGATGATAGAAGCATGATATGATTCCCTTCAAGTCTCTAGTCCCAAAGCCAGAACAGAATGTCAGAAATCACAATCCTACAACTGTGCTGTTCACTGAAACATCATAATCACAGGCCAATTGCCAAATACCCAGATTACAATCACATGATCACAGGGACGGGTAGAATTCCGAGTATGGTCATAAATCCCCATACCTACCACATCTTTCATGTATTTAAAAAAATAAACTATACAAGTTTCAGTATGATAGTGATGGTATTTTTCTATTCATATTTACTGCATATTGCTCTTAGCTATTATGGCTGCAGACAAGGAGGGGACAGTAAACGTACATTACTTCAAGTATGTTAAGTATATATGTATATTGAGAAAATATGCTAGAGAATATGGGAAAGGATGCTTGAATATTGAGAAAGCATGCTAGAGATATGATGATGAGATATACTCGGTACCTGTATAAGTTGTGTGTGTGTGTTTTATATATGTGTGTAACATGCAACTATATATACAAATAATACAAAGTTCAACAGAACTCCAAATGAATATTACTTTTCTATGGTTGGGTAAACGTTTCCTCTTTTACTCCCCAAATAATAATAAGAATCACTGAAGTTCTACCTACCCTCTTTCTTGTTTCTCTAGGCTCATGTGTGATTGCAGTTGCTTCAATTTCTTCTCCATTTCTTTATTTTCAAATTCCAGTTGAACCTTTTCCAATTGCAGCTCCTGTACACTTCTAGAGAGATTAAATTCAGCTCTAAAACTGGCACCAAACTGCACTTTCTTTCTCTATTTAAAGTATATGCAATGCAGCAGAAAATGGCAGATTGGTATTTTGAAGGGGTTTTTTGAAACCAGGCAATACATTTACAGCTTGGCTTTTTAACTAAAAAAAGGATGTTCTTTTTGTGCCATTGCAGAAAAAGTAATTATTTAAAAACAGGCCACCAATTTGGAACAAAGAACAAAAGAAAAGAAACAAAAAACAGAAAAAGGACACCAGAAAACACGCCAATTCTAAACACATTTACATGGTGGCAGCTCTCATTTGTTTCAATAAAATTAACTTCAAATAAGTGATTTTAGGATTCAGTGGTTAGAAATAGTCTGCATTTAATGATGCATATAAAAAGGCAAAAGATTATCCAAGCACTTCAAATCAATTAGGGAAAGAAACTTACTTTTCCTTCAGTTTTACAGAAACTCCAGTTTTTGAACCAGGGAGTATCACAAAATCATTGATGTTCATGATTGCAAATTCAGAAAAGCTTAAAGATGTATTCAAATCATACAGTTTTGAAATCTGTTTAAAAGAGAAAAAAATGTATATTAAAAGTTTAACAATTCCAGTTATATTTATAAATGGGATAAAATAAGTACTGAAGAAGGAAAGCTAAAGGTACTGTTAAGTTTCACAAAGTAATTAATTAGACAGTGGATCTAACAATATTGAATAATCTCCTTTACAGAAGTTATGTGTAAAAGGCTTGGAAATAAAGGCTTGAGCTTAGCTTACCTAAGCTAAATCAGCAAAGGCTTAATTAGATCTTGGCTAACTTCTTTTAATTTCAAGTAGTTTACCTTAAGCATAACAAAACCTAGATGCAAGTAATGTGTTAGAAAAGAGCAGACTGTTGATGTTTAGAAAACAATTTAATCAACTATTTGTGTTCAAATGGAATGGATCATGATGGTCACTGTAATTATATTAGCAACTTGGAAGTTAAAATTATTCAATGGAAATGCTAAGCTTATGAGCTAGAATCAATATGAGTTCTTATGTTTAATAGCAATCTTGACTTAGATTACATCTGGAATTCAAGTTTGAGATGACTCTTACTGTTAGCATTTGTATTGGACTTTTGGGAAACTTAGGCTAAGGGTATAGTTTTGTGATGCTTATGGTAAAACTTTTCCCTATGGATTGGGTTCAGGAAGAATATAAAATATTTTGTAGTAATCATGGATGCAGATTAAGGTTGAAACTCTGCAGTGCAGTGAGTGAATATCAAATTGGCCAGCCCTCTTATGGATATTTTAGCTCTAAAAGATAGTGAAAACCCCCACCATACCTGAAATCTAACCTTGATTCTAATCCACACACTAAATATTACCATCAACATTTGAGGTTTCCTGGAAAAATTACTCCGACAACAAGCATTATGGTAAATTTTCATAAAGCTCTTTGATAAATGCAATGCCAACCCAGTCCTGCATCAGTCTAAAAACTAGAACTCCCTGCTCTTTAATTCAATCCAAGCAAACCTTTACCACTAAATCTAGCAGCTAGGGACTTTCTGACAGGCATGCATTCAACAGGGGAAACTGCTTGAAAATAAATAAATAAGAGATACAAAGAAGTGAGATGGCAAACTTCAACCCCTGGATTTGTGCTTCGTTAGCAGCCCCTACATACAAAAGGACCAAGGATATTGGGACACAGATCCCTTCCCCGGAAAAAAAAGTATTATGCCCCTTGGAAGTGTACTGGAAATAACCCAGGACTTGCTCCTAGTGCTCAAGGACCTAGACATCAAACCCCACGCTGCAGTTTTATTACAGATCCAGGGACCAGTCTGTGCAGGTGGGCGACTCTCGGTGAATAGGGAGGGGGGGGGTCTTACTCCTCTACCTAAGAGTCCTTTAAATTAACACCTTCCTCGCCGATCCCCAAACAGCTACTGCTACTCATCCTCCCCCCCCCTCCGGCTTAATTATCTCGAGGACTGCGAGAACCTGGCGGCCAGAGACGGGCGCAGCCCACTCCAGGCTTCCCGGGCCGGCTCCCTTCTGCCTTCCGAAGCCTCCCCCGCCGAAACAAGCTAGCCGTTCCCACGGCAACCGGTCGCTTGGGCCTCTTCCATCTTCAAAAGCGAGGGGGTGGGCGGCGCCAGGAGCGTTCCATTTCGGAAGATTCCATTCTACGAGACCGAAAGGTAGGGGTGGCATGCAGGCTGGGTCTGACCGCTGGGTTTTTTACTCTCTATTTAAAATGGAGCAATTGCTCCTTTTTCGAGCCCAGTGGGAGTTAATTTCCAGCAGACACGGAACTGTTTCAAGACCTGGTCGCAACAATACGTGCCATGTCCAGATGATCACTAGATGGCAGCTAAGAATACAGAATTTCATAAAAGTTGGGAACTGGCGGGCTGGGGAATTCTGGGAGTTGAAGTCCACCGGTCTTAAAGTTGCCAAGGTTGGATACCTTTACTTTAGACTAGTGCAGGGGTAGGCAACCTTGGCTCTTTTATGACTCGTGGACTTCAACTCCCAGAATTCCTGAGCCAGCATGGCTGGCTCAGGAATTCTGGGAGTTGAAGTCCACGAGTCATAAAAGAGCCAAGGTTGCCTACCCCTGGACTAGTGTATTGGAATGGTTGAGATTGCGAGCCAGCTCAGCTGGAAGGGAATCAGACTGAAGAAATGGGGAAAATGTATAGATGTTTCTGCATCTGATTAAATAGCAATGCTTTTCAGAAGCTCCATTAAAGTGAAGCAAATTACAGCTCAAAAAATTCTTTTTTCCCAATGGTAACTTAACAAAGAAATCAATAAAGAGGGATGAAGGATAAAGGCTTTTCTTTATAGCAAATCAAGAATAATAATTAAAGAGTTCAAAACACAGGATGCTGGCAGAGTCTTATGTTTCCACTCAGCCTTCAGTTAGGAGACTTTGGCTTTATTGCCCTACAGCAATAGAGGAATAGAGTCACGTGTATTTCTTTCTTAAAAGAAGAGGGTCAAGACAGAGAGAGAAATGTTATTTTTAATACAGATAATTTGTAAATACCTGTACGGTATAATATAGTAACTTTCTCGAACCAGATGCCCTCCAGATGTGCTGAGGCTTCAGTTCCTAGATTCCAAGGAAGCAGTTCCCATAAACCACACTATATGGAAATTCTGAGCAAAGCAATTCTAACAAAATCAGTAGGGTACCAGGATGGGAGAGCTATAAACCTAGTATCCCTAACTGCAGTCCTGGTTGCTGAAAGGAATATAGCCAAAGGAGTAATCAATTTATCTGTCTGCTTTTCACAAATACCAACCACAAACTAAGATCTCTGAACCTGAATTAGAATGTTAGTACTATTAATAAACGTTACTATTGATATGATGATACAAACAATGCATTTTCCTACCAATTTAAAACCAGAAAAATCCCTCTAATTGAGAGCCAGTTTTGTGTAGTGGTTAAAGCACCAGGCTAGAAACTGGTATTTCAGAAGCCACTCCCACCAAAACAAGCTAGCTGTTCCCACATTAGGCACAAAGATAGCTAGGTTACTTGAGCCAGTCACACTTTCTCAACCCTAGGAAGAAAGCAGTGGCTAACTATGGCTGAAAAACTTTGCCAGAAAACTGCTTGAAGGTATCCAGATAGTCACCAGGAGTCAACACTGACTTAAAGACACAGGTATATAGATATAGATCACCTCTAATATTACCAAATGCTAGGAAACCCAAGACAGAGAATGGAGTGCGTAATGGCTACTTTTCTCTCAATGTAGGCGTGGGTATAAAGGGCAACATGCAGAATGCATAGCCACCAACTGTTTTGACTGGGCTAGTCATACTTCAGAAAAAAATCTGGGTTGGCTAGTTGAGTCTGAGAACCATTTTCTTGAGACCATTCTCAAGAGTAATTACCCTTGAGTAATCTAAGGAGATTTTCAAAGGGTATTAAGGGTGGGGCGATACCCAAAAAACAGCCTTTGTGAGAGGGTGTGTTTTATAGGAATGCTGATCACATGGAAGCTGTGGAGTTTGCTGGTGGTTGGAGAGAGGAAACCATGAAGTTAAGGGCTTTTGATCAATATTATTTCATTTTCTGAAGCTGATGATTGCTCTGCTATGTAAGTTCTCGATATAAAAGGTAGTGGTGTTGTTCCAGTAGCAGTTTATTGCTCCAGTGCAGGGGTTCTTTGTAAGAGAAGAAGGTTTTGACTGTCAAAACCTGTTTATTGTTTTAGTTCAAGGCATTTCTGAGGTAGAGTTTTATTTTCTTATCAATAAATGTGATTGCTGCACTGTGTTCAAATAAGAATCCAAACAAAAACACAATGCAACTAATTTTTGTTTTCTTATATTGTGCAGAAGCTAGGGGGCTTATAAAAATTACCCAGAAAAGGAACAACATGTACTTTTCACAGTTTCATTATAATATCTATGTACACTACACATGAGTGACAATCTTTGCAAGAAATATATGCTGCAATTGGGAGACCTAGTTCTTCAGAGAAGACTCTTCAAACAGTTCAAAACGCCACTTGAGTACCTATTAATCACTATATATTCTTCTAAGAGGGCTATCCCTTTTAAGGCAATATTTCTCAAATTGAGCAAATTCCAGATGCAGCCACTCAACTCCCAAAATTTCCAACTACATAGTTATTGCTGAAAATTCTGGAAGTTGGTCCAAATATCTTCTTGTTGTTCAACTGGGAAATTCTGTGTTTATATTTCACAAACAGAAGGCCTGCCAATGCATGCATGAGTAGAAGAATACAAATCAATTAAAGTAGGATAAATCATGCTCCTATTTCTGATCCTAACAAATTGTCAGTTTTCATACTATCCAAACTTTTTTGTAATGAAGCAGAAATTGCCCTGCCAAGGGAAAAAATGTGGAAGGCAACTCTTCCCCCATCCTCAGCTTTGTTATACATGCACATTTATTTATTTCATAATGTTTGTAATTCATCTCTGCATATTGCATTAAGATACAATGTGATTTATTTTTGATTTAACAGTGAACTCATCCACTATAGCTGAGTAGTTTGTGTGGATCAGCCCCCTGCGCTTGTTCAGAAAATCACAGTTTAATAAAGGACTGTAGCATGTGAATGCATCAATATATTCACTTACCTTTTACCTGCCTTCTCTTTTTCCCAGAGGAAAAGTTATCTATCGTTTCAAATACTTTTATTTGCTTTTTAATATAATCTCAGAGTGTATTTAAGTTGTTGGCTATAAGGAAGACTATTTCTGAGAAGGATTTTCCCTGCAGCACTCCTTCTGTCTAAGTCAAGCTAAAGAACATTCAAAGTATCTTTCATTTTATTTTAAAATAAGAAATAGACTTCATATCACAGAAAAACAAATTGTTCATTCTTAGATAAGGCTGTTCACTGAAATTAATTTTGTATGATCTTGTTTCCTCTGCTTTCTGCAATATTCTCCATGAAGGAACGTCTTTTAAGAAGACTAAAACTTGACAGTGCTAGCTGTATATATTTGTTTTCATGAACAGATTCTAGTCTGAACAAAGGTCTACTTGACTCATTTATTTTGTGTCTGGTAATTACTTGGCTGGATGCATGGGAGCAGCTGGATACTTTTTTATTCAGCAAGTAATATGTCCACTATATGCAAAAATAATCAATATAGGCTGAAGCATGGGAATTGCATTCTTGGGTAATCTGGAACAAGCCGCAGTAGAAGACATCTGGAGAATATTTAGACAGTAGGCCAAAGCAAAGCTTTATAATCTGTTTCACATCAAATCTGTTAACATATAAAATTTACAAATAAATGTATTTTCTTTGGCTGAAATCTGTAGTTCACATTGTATATTATAATGAACATTATAGTTCACATTGTATATTATACAACTACAATACATCTGTAGTTCACATTGTATATTATAATGAACATTGTCCTGGGCTAATGATTTTTTTCTGGTTTCAGCTTCCTTCCCATGTTCTGTATCATATTTTAGACTTTAAGTTATTTGGGACAACATGGTAGTACTTGTTGGATTCTTCTTCTTCTTCTTCTTCTTCTTCTTCTTCTTCTTCTTCTTCTTCTTCTTCTTCTTCTTCTTCTTCTTCTTCTTCTTCTTCTTCTTCTTCTTCTTCTTCTTCTTCTTCTTCTTCTTCTTCTTCTTCTTCTTCTTCTTCTTCTTCTTCTTCTTCTTCTTCTTCTTCTTCTTCTTCTTCTTCTTCTTCTTCTTCTNCTCCTCCTCCTCCTCATTGTAGTTTGAAAGTTTGAAAGTTTCTTCGATGTAAAGTTGTCCTCTTTAGCTCCAGCTTGTGGACATATCTCGCAAAAAATAGCAATGTATCTGATATGATGTACACTGTACAAAAGAAAAGGTTTTGTTTAAAGCTCTCTGTTTATATCTTTGCTAAACACCTTGAGCTTGAGAATGAAAGCATGAATAAAAACCCCATGAACTGTAGCAGCAATAGCTACATTCTTTCATACCGAACAATACAAGCAGACAGCTTTCCCAGAGCATTTCTGCAGTCAAAAGAAACCCAGAGAGATTTACACTGCAGTTCACTGCCCAGTTGCTGAAATGTCCAATCATATTAAATGAAACATATCTTAGTTGACATGAGTAAGAGTTCACTAATAAACTTCTATAGTACCATTTTTCCCACAAAAACCTAACTGTAAAATTCAAAATATGAATTTTTAAACTGCTTATCCTTATCTCCCTACAAATATAATTGTGGCTCAGGTTGGTTGCTAGATTATGTTCCAAACACTATATATTTTACTTCCATACCTATCTTCTCTGTACCCTGCAGTCTTCTTACTGTATCAGGAAGCAGATTTCTAGATGTCCCACTATTCTATCCAACAAGAAGGTAAAATGACCCAACTAAAGAAAAACAAGCCTACTAATTCATTGGCAAGCAGGGGTCTTCTCTTATCTTAAAATCTAAGCAGTGTCAGCACTTGGATGGGGAGTATCCCTCTGGATCTAGACTAGATTCTAGACTTGATTGTGCATTTGAAGAAGAATTCCAAAATAAAGTAATGGCAAGCCACTTTCATAT